GACTCCATGTCCCCGCAGCTCTTCATGCTCGCCGTCGACACTCTGGGACGGCTCCTACGACGCGCACACAGCCTGGGCATCCTGCAGCCACTACACCCACGGCGACACATCCCGGCGATTTCCCTCTACGCCGACGACGTCATGGTCTTCTGCCACGCCACGGTGGATGACACAACTGCGATCAGGGAGATCCTCGCCTTGTTCGGCAGGGCCTCCGGCCTGAAGGTGAACTACACCAAGAGCTCCGCCACCATCCTGCACGGCGACCAAGCGGCCACGGAGATGATCGTGCACCTCGGCTGCCCGGTGGCGACCCTTCCCATCACCTACCTGGGCATCCCCATGTCTACGTGCCGCCCATCTGCCGCCCAGCTACAACCCATGGTGGATGCGGTCGCCGCGCGCCTACCGACCTGGAAGGCCTGGCTGATGACTAAAACCGGGCGGGCCTCGCGCTGGTCAAGTCGGTCTTGTGTGCCATCCCGGTGCACCAACTGCTTGCGTTTGCGCCTCCCAAAAAAACCCTCAAGCAGATCGAGAAGATTCAGCGCGGTTTCCTTTGGGATGGACGTGGCGCTGCCAATGGTGGACACTGCCACTTGAACTGGAACAGAGTATGCCGCCCTATCGAGCTTGGGGGCCTAGGCGTGCGAGACCTCGAGCGTGCCGGCCTCGCCCTGTGACTACGCTGGTTATGGTTCTCCAGAACGGACCCGGAGCAAGCATGGCAAGGGCTAGACCTTCAATTCTCGCCCACGGAACGAGCCCTGTTCTGGGCATCCACGTTCACGGTCATTGGGAATGGGCAGACCGCCCTGCTCTGTGAGGACCAGTGGATCGGCGGCCAATCCGTTTGCGAGCTCATGCCTAACCTTTACGGCTGCATCCCCAAGCGACGACGGATGGCGAGAACTGTGGCGGACGGGCTCAATGGCAACTCCTGGGCATGCGACATCCAAGGCAACCTCGGCCTCCATGAAATTGGTTAGTATCTGCAGCTCTGGCAGATCATGCAGCGCACCGACCTCTCCACCACACCGGACAGGTTGATCTGGAGATGGACAGCGGGCGGCAACTACTCTGCGCAGTCCTGTTACATGGCCACCTTCCATGGATCAACGGCCTGCCGTTCCTGGAAGCTAATTTGGAAATGCTGGGCGCCGCCACGAGTCAAGTTCTTCCACTGGTTGGCCAACCAGGACCGCTGCTGGACGGCAGAGAGGCTGGCTCGCCACGGCCTCCAGCATCATCCCCGCTGCCTCCTATGTGACCAGCAGCCGGAAACGGTGCGACATCTGCTGCTGGAATGCCCCCTCGCCCGACAGGCATGGCACGAGACCCTGGCCTGGCTACGCATCCCGGCCCCGATCCCCATGCAGGAACTATCGCTTACGGACTGGTGGAAACATGCCAAGGAAGACACGCCGCTGATCCTACGCAAGGCCCTGAATTCTGTCGCGTTGCTCGTGCCATGGATGGTCTGGAAGCACAGGAACAGCTGCGTCTTCGACAATGCGACGCCATCCCTCAACACGCTTCTAGATAGCATTAAGGACGAGGCCCGCTCATGGGGGGCAGCTGGGGCACCTGGCCTCCGACTTGTGCTGCCCCAAACCTGGGATGTACATTAATTAACCGGCTGTAATCCGCACATCCCCGGATGATTGTAACTGAACCTCTCCCTTTTCAATGAAAAGAAACGCAAAGCTTTTGCGTTTTCTCGAAAAAAGATGGAACTCTTCCTTCTCTTTCATAGATTGAAAGTTGCTATTGCCGAGATGTCATGTTTGTTTTGTCAGAATTTTATGTAATAATCTCATACTTGTGTCAATATTTTGAGTTTTTACTGCCTTTTCCATTGCATTTTCTAAGAAATTGTTCGTTGTTTAAACCAGCACATCATGTAGTGAGCCAAACATCGCAAATGCCTTCTGGAGGCGAAGCCAGAGGAGAGGAGTTGCTGAAGAACCTCGTGGTGCTAGCTCAAGGTTTCCACTCGACTCTAGGCATTAACTGCTTTAGTAAAATTCTGTAATCCCTTGTATTGCTGTTCGTAGTTCTTTCCCTACAACCTTATTGCTGAGAGGTACTAAGGTATTTTTACCGAGGGTTTAATGCACTGATTTTTAGGTTCTATGCATTGTTCATAGGCTTGGGAAATTCCATTTTGACGAATTACATGCTCTTTTTTGTTTGATTTGCAGATGCACTCATACACGCCTTTCCTAAAATCATCCTATTTTGCATTCACCAAAACTAGCACTAATATTACCATATCACGTGCATGCTTATAATTTGTATGCTTTTCTGTGTTACCAAATGTTTATCTAGTAGTGAGTATTCTCTTACATGATAGGAACTATAAGCATCGATCTATTGTTTCATTGTGTCTTCCTCCCAGTTTCTGGTGGTATATATGTTCTCACAGGATACTTTTGTCGCTTTCCCCTGTTGTAGTCCTGAGCATCCGTTAATGAGGGCCAAGGGAAGATCTATACTTGGTGGTGACCGGCAATCATTTCAAGAATACACCGATAGAGTTACTTTAAGGTTTGCCAGTGTTTTTTTATTGGTGTGGTGTTGCATTTTTTAATGTTCTTTTGCTGGTGCAACTATTTTCCATTGTATATCGATTGACCAATTTGTTTCAGTTGGTCAGCTTGACTGCCTACTGCCACAAATACAAACTGCTGGCCTTTATTCCATTATGTTCTTCCTCTTATTCACTGTTAGTAGCAACCATATGATTTGATATACATATATATGTATTTAGGAGGTAAATGCAAGCTCTCTAAAAGAAAAGGGGCAACCAATACAAGTGTTGTGCACGATAGATGATGAAATCTACCTGTTTTTAGTTAACCACTAACCTTATTCCCAATCATAATATTACCTTTGTGTTGCTCTTCGTAATGGAAACTAGTTTGAAATATGTTTCTCTTACATTTCTGTTTTTTTATCTCCACCCATATGTCCATCTCCATGGTTGTGGACTCAAATTCCTTGTTAGTTTTTGAGAAGCCAAATTAATTTGCATCCTTTACCCTTGTAAAGAACAAGAACTTGTCTTATGTCAGTTTTTCTTTTCTTTTCTGAAGCTTCTTTTCATAATCATGAAAATAATTCGGATAGCAACCCCATTTTTGAATAAATCATTACACACTTGCAGATCAGATGATCAGGGTGTCACTACTACACCGAACCCTCGAAGAATAAGACGAAGAAGCATTAGCATCACACCTGAGATTGGAGATGACATTGTGAGGTAATTCTTGTTTTGAACTATATGATGGGGTTGGTGTTTCCATGGTTGTATTAGAAGTTTTGTAGGTGCGCTTGCTTGTTGCCTTCAATCCAGTATAGCAAGATTCAAGTGTCACTGAATACTTTGCTCATGGCCATGTATAGATGCTAGATATCCTAGAGCATGTGTCTGTATTCTGTTAGATATGCTCATCGAGCATCAGGTATTCACTGTTTAAATCTTAAATCTTGACAGGGCAGTTCGGGCTATGAATGAAACACTAAAGCAGAATCGCCTCCAAAGGGATCATGTTAATGATGGTTCATGTTCATATATTGGGGCGGACGAAAGCAATGCAAATGACTGCCCAAATAATGTACATTAGTTTTTCATTGTTTTATGTTATATATGTTGGCTTTTCATCTCCTGTGCGTGTAATTCCCTTGTGAATTTCATCAGCTTGGATCCTAATTTCATTTCATTCTTAGGATGATAAATCTGGGACGAACAATGGCTTGAGAAACCGAGCTGGTTCTACTCAGAAGGCTATGTCATTGCCTACTTCTCCTCATGACTATGGGGGCGAAATTTCTGAAACAAGCAATAATTGTGATTTTATAAGCGAAGAGAAGATGGTATTTGCATGGAACAGGGTTTTGCAAAGCTCTCCTTTTAATAAGCCTCTATCGCCTTTCCAAGAGTGGAACATAGATTTCTCTGAGCTTACAATTGGTACACGGGTTGGAATAGGCAAGTCATCTTGAACTTCCTCACACAAATTTACTATTGTCGACTTGATGCATGTGTTTTGAAATGAACCTTTCCCATTCTTTTGTTGTTATGCTTGTGTTCTTTGTAATGATAAGTGTTTGCTGCTTTTAGTATGGTATGATATGTTTGTAGTATGCACTCAGAATCAAATGATCAACAAAATGTTATTATTTTTTTGTATGACTTATCTACAATGCTCTCATAATCAAATGAATCGGATTCAATTATATCCTAAGTCTTACACACTGTCTTGATATTGTTATATCTGTCTTCATATTTTGACTTCGCCAAAGCTATTCATGAAATCTTATTATTGTTTTACTGAAAGTTTATTAAAATAAATCAAATATTCAGGTCAAACTGTGTAAGTGACATCTTTTTTTTCTGAGAATTTAAAGATGTCACTATTAAATGGCGGCTATTCCGCTCTGATAGTTAGAATCAATGAGTAGACATGCTAATAAACATGGAGACTTGTTTGGACCATTTGATAGTCATCATAATGCAGTCTTCTGTTTCATATTCAAATGCTCTAGCTTGAAATTGTCTGTTTTCCTTTGTGTTTTTATTCGTCAGCATTTTTTTTAGCCTGACAAAATTGCAGGCTCACCTTTGTCGAAATGCTTCTCCAGGATTCTTTGGAGAGGTTTTCCGTGGTATATGGAATGGCACTGATGTCGCCATCAAAGTATTTCTGGAGCAGGATCTGACGACTGAAAACATGGAAGATTTTTGCAATGAGATATACATCCTGAGGTACCTGAGCCACTCTTGATTCACTAATGTGGTTAACCTTCTGTTTTTCATTATCTGCACGAGCGCATTAATAATTTTACTATTCCTTTTCAGCCGGCTGCGGCATCCAAATGGTAAGAGCTCATTTTGACAAATGCAAACTATAGTATGAAACTACAATCTCAGCATCTCTGTTTGGGGCATCAACTGCCATATGTTAGGAACAGGGCTCTTAAACGAACTTTTCTATTCTGTTCTGTAGTAATATTGTTCCTTGGGGCATGCATGGTACCTCCGCACCTGTCAATGGTTACTGAATATATGGAAATGGGATCACTGTACTATCTCATCCATATGAGTGGTCACAAAAAGAAACTCAGCTGGCGCAGGAGGCTGAAAATTATTCGTGATATATGCAGGTTAGCTCTTACCCTGTATACAAGTGATGTTACTCTATACATGTCTATTAGCTGTTATTTGATGTCCTGGAACTTCTGGGAAAATACTCAATCCATTTGATGTAATTCTCTTACCGTTTAGAGCTCAAATCCTCAATCTCGTCCCAGCTCCGACCACTTTTTATCATTAATTGCCCGTCTAAAAGGAATTATTTTGTGAAAGGGGATTGATGTGCATACACCGCATGAAGATAGTTCACAGGGACCTGAAAAGTGCCAACTGTCTGGTGAACAAGTATTGGACTGTCAAGATATGTGACTTTGGCCTTTCTCGAGCGATAACAGATAGTCCTATGACTGATAACTCCTCTGCTGGCACACCAGAATGGATGGCCCCTGAGCTCATAAGGAACGAACCCTTCTCAGAAAAATGTGACATTTTCAGCCTTGGTGTGATAATGTGGGAGCTGTGCACATTGAGCCGCCCATGGGATGGGATCGGCCCAGTTAAAGTAAGCATTCATCGACTTTCATCAAAACGTCTGCAATATAACCGAATTATCTAAAGAGATTCTCTTAACTGAACCATATGCGGCATTCTGATCTCTACCATGCTGATCATTTAATCATGTCTGGTGCATCCCTATTTCTTGATGGTTATACATGTTAGTAGGCAAAGCAGTTCTTTTGCTCCAAGAGTTGTTCACTGAACTTGAGAATTGGCATTTTATAGGTGGTGTATGCAGTTACTGAAGGGTCGCTGCTTGAAATTCCAAAAGGGCCTCTTGGCAAGTTAATTGCAGGTAATGATGCTTTCAGAAGCGATATTTTTCTATTCCAGGTTAACGGTGGAACAAGTCTGGGATCACTTTTGAGTCAGTGTTCTTCAGCTTATTCTGTTTTCAGTTTCAGCTTAGGGACAATTGTTTTGTTTACTGCAGATTGCTGGGCAGAGCCCCAGGATCGGCCGAGCTGCCAGGAGATCCTCGCTCGCTTGCTGGACTGCGAGTACGCTGATAGCTGAGACGAACCTGGCGAATGCTTTACAACAGACCTCCCAGTGCCTTGAGAGGTGGAACCGTTTCTCTGTATAAAACTTGTAAAAATCTAGCCTGTTGGTCCTGCAGACCGGCAGGGATACATATATTGAACTCTTGTATTTCGGCTGTATATCGGCGACCCTTTCTTTCAAATTTCTTAAGGAAAATTCTCTCCTTTTATAGAAGAATGTCGCAGGGCTAAGCTAGCGTGTCCTCGGATCTATCATTTGCTTTTCCAAGAAATTGTAGCCTGGGTACATCCGGTTCCAGTGGATGTGACAACCTCACTGCTGCCTCCGCCGTTCTCTGCATGTCACGTCACTTTTTTTAGGATGCCTCGCCAATTTGTCGGGCTTCAGTTGTCGACGACACTGGTAGTACTCTGTAAGAGCGATTAGATCACTAGGGGCGCGCTTGGTTCACATCTTTGTGTTAGGGCATTTTGCATACTTGTCCTAGTTGGGTCTGGTTGGACAAATATAGGCTAAAAACCAACGTTTGCATGTAGTTTGGTTACCTTCATTAGTCTTTCTGCATGAAGGAATCAATTAGTTAGCATGTTGTTTGGTTGCGTGCGTCACTATTGTTAAACAAACATGTTGTTTGGTTGCAAATGGCTAAAGATGCGATCATCACTTTTCACTAATGATGACCTTACCACACACATTGACCATTGTCTTGTTCTAGCTAGAAAACAAATGACAGTTTATTCTAACTACTAGCAAATGACGGTACAAATTATTAAGAGCCAAATGACTGAATAAGGAAAGTTCAATGATGCTAACTAGGTGCAAGTTCATCCTCTTCCTCTTCCTCTCCTGCTGATGTGCTGCTTCCTCTTCCTCGCTTCTATTGCTGTCTCTTTCTTCTTCCTCTTGTTCTTCTGCTTCACATCCTTGTCCGACCTCTGTTATCACACATTGCCTAAGCCCACTCCAACCTTCTGTTTTTCCATGCTTCGTTGTCGAATGCCTCCACACCATGGTCGGAGCTGACCACCTCATATGGAGTCGCAACTTCCTCCTCCGGCACAAATTTATCAACTCCCCATTGTAGGATCCAGTTGTGAATGACGCAACATGCAAGAACAAGCTTCACCTGGGTAGGGTAAGGGTGGAATGTCTTCCGATCTAGGATCTTAAACCCGTTCTTCAGAGCTCCAAATGCCCTCTCAACAGTCACTCTAAGGATGGTTCCTACCAGCAAACTTGTTCATATGGTACCTAGTTTTCCTGAAGGGTGGAAGAACACCTGGCCGACATGCATAGCCAGCATCTCCAAGCTAGAACTTGCCATCGGGGATGTTGATGCCATCATGACGATTCATGTTGTCACTGAGAAGGTTAGCATCATGTGCTGATCCTTCCCAGCCAGCCAGCACATATGTGAACTTCAGATCGAAGTCAACAGCAGCTAGCACATTCTGGCTTTTGTAGTGCTTCCTCCCTCTGTATGCTGCAACTTATGACCTCGACTCTCTAGCAGTGACATGAGTACCATCTATTGCTCCAATGCAATCCTGGAATGACATTACAATATGTTGTTAGTCTACTACATAACAATAACAACATATGAAGGCATGAACTACATACTGTAAGTGCTCACCTTGAAGTATGGATACCATCATGGGCTAGTGCGAATTTTGGTAGGAGTCCAGCCGGTTGGTGACCTGATCATCTCTCCTCCGAGCTCCCCAACAACATACAACACTTGCTCTCCCGAAGGTGTTGTGTACCACCCTGAAGCTCTGATTATGACCAACAACATGGAGGAACATGGCCACTTGCTCTTCCATAGTGGCGTGGATGCTATCTTCTAGCAGCCCCCTGCTCCTAAACGTCTGCACAAGCCTGGAGAAAGGTGCTCTTTTCATTCAAAGCATCTATAGAGCCTTCGTGTCGTTGCAGTTGTAGATGTAGTTCAGATTCACTATCCTCTCTTGATCCTGGATTAACATCGGATCATACTGTATGCAAGGTTTCTCATTTCGACGAACAACTCTCTTATGGACCAACATGATCCAGGACTGAACCACAACTATCAGGGATGCTGCCTGTGTTGGGGAACGTTGCAGAAAACAAAAATTTTCCTATGGTTTCACCAAGATCCATCTATGAGTTCATCTAGCAACGAGTGATCGGATTGCATCTACATACCTTTGTAGATCACGCGCGGAAGCGTTCAAAGAACGGGGATGAGGAAGTCGTACTCGACGTGATCCAAATCACCGGAGATCCTAGCGCCGAACGGACGGCACCTCCGCGTTCAACACACGTATGGTCAGCGTGACGTCTCCTCCTTATTGATCCAACAAGGGGGGAGGAGAGGTTGATGAAGATCCAGCAGCACGACGGCGTGGTGGTGGATGCAGGGGTCACCGCAGCAGGGCTTCGTCGATCTACTACGAGAGGGAGAGGTGTAGCAGGGGAGAGGGAGGCGCCAAGACTCAAGGGTACGGCTGCCCTCCCTCCCTCCTCTATATATAGGGTCCCCAGGGGGGGGGGGCGCCGGCCCTGGAGATCCAATCTCCCAAGGGGCGGCGGCCAAGGGGGGTGGAGTGCCCCCCCAAGGCAAGTGGGGCGCCCCCTACTCTAGGGTTCCCAACCCTAGGCGCAGGGGGGAGGCCCAAGGGGGGCGCACCAGCCCACTAGGGGCTGGTTCCCCTCCCACTTCAGCCCATGGGGCCCTCCAGGATAGGTGGCCCCACCCGGTGGACCCCCGGGACCCTTCCGGTGGTCCCAGTACAATACCGGTGACCCCGAAACTTGTCCCGATGGCCGAAATAGCACTTCCTATATATAATTCTTCACCTCCGGACCATTCCAAAACTCCTCGTGACGTCCGGGATCTCATCCGGGACTCCGAACAACTTTCGGGTTACTGCATATTATATCTCTACAACCCTAGCATCACCGAACCTTAAGTGTGTAGACCCTACGGGTTCGGGAGACATGTAGACATGACCGAGATGGCTCTCCGGTCAATAACCAACAGCGGGATCTGGATACCCATGTTGTCTCCCACATGCTCCTCAATGATCTCATCGGATGAACCACGATGTCGAGGATTCAAGCAACCCCGTATACAATTCCCTTTGTCAATCGGTACGTTACTTGCCCGAGATTCAATTGTCGGTATCCCAATACCTCGTTCAATCTCGTTACCGGCAAGACACTTTACTCGTATCGTAATGCATGATCCCGTGACCAGACACTTGGTCACTTTGAGCTCATTATGATAATGCATTACCGAGTGGGCCCAGAGATACCTCTCCGTCATACAGAGTGACAAATCCTAGTCTTGATCCGTGTCAACCCAACAGACACTTTCGGAGATACCCGTAGTATAACTTTATAGTCACCCAGTTACGTTGTGACGTTTGGTACACCCAAAGCACTCCTACGGTATCCGGGAGTTACACGATCTCATGGTCTAAGGAAAAGATAGTTGACATTGGAAAACTCTAGCAAACGAACTATACGATCTTGTGCTATGTTTAGGATTGGGTCTTGTCCATCACATCATTCTCCTAATGATGTGATCTTGTTATCAATGACATCCAATGTCCATAGTCAGGAAACCATGACTATCTGTTGATCAACGAGCTAGTCAACTAGAGGCTTACTAGGGACACGTTGGTGTCTATGTATTCACACATGTATTACGATTTCCGGATAACACAATTATAGCATGAATAAAAGACAATTATCATGAACAAGGAAATATAATAATAATCCTTTTATTATTGCCTCTAGGGCATATTTCCAACAGTCTCCCACTTGCACTAGAGTCAATAATCTAGTTACATTGTGATGAATCGAACACCCATGGAATTCTGGTGTTGATCATGTTTTGCTCTAGGGAGAGGTTTAGTCAACGGATCTGCTACATTCAGGTCCGTATGTACTTTACAAATATCTATGTATCCATCTTGAACATTTTCATGAATGGAGTTGAAGCGACGCTTGATGTGCCTTGTCTTCTTGTGAAACCTGGGCTCCTTGGCAAGTGCAATAGCTCCAGTGTTGTCACAGAAGAGTTTGATCGGCCACGACGCATTGGGTATGACTCCTAGGTCGGTGATGAACTCCTTCACCCAAATTGCTTCATGCGCTGCCTCCGAGGCTGCCATGTACTCCGATTCACATGTAGATCCCGCCACGATGCTCTGCTTGCAACTGCACCAGCTTACTGCCCCACCATTCAAAATATACACGTATCCGGTTTGTGACTTAGAGTCATCCAGATCTGTGTCGAAGCTAGCGTCGACGTAACCCTTTACGACGAGCTCTTCCTCACCTCCATAAACTAGAAACATTTCCTTAGTCCTTTTGAGGTACTTCAGGATATTCTTGACCGCTGTCCAGTGTTCCTTGCCGGGATTACTTTGGTACCTACCTACCAAACTTACAGCAAGGTTTACATCAGGTCTGGTACACAGCATGGCATACATAATAGAACCTATGGCTGAGGCATAGGGGATGACACTCATCTCTTCTATATCTTCTGCCGTGGTCGGACATTGAGCTGAGCTCAATTTCACAGCTTGCAACACAGGCAAGAACCCCTTCTTAGACTGATCCATATTGAACTTCTTCAATATCTTATAAAGGTATGTGTTTTGTGAAAGACCTATGAGGCATCTTGATCTGTCTCTATAGATCTTGATGCCTAATATATAAGCAGCTTCTCCAAGGTCCTTCATTGAAAAACTCTTATTCAAGTAGGCCTTAATGCTGTCCAAAAGCTCTATATCATTTCCCATCAAAAGTATGTCATCTACATATAATATGAGAAATGCTACAGAGCTCCCACTTACTTTCTTGTAAACGCAGGCTTCTCCATAAGTCTGCATAAACCCAAACGCTTGATCATCTCATCAAAGCGAATGTTCAAACTCCGAGATGCTTGCACCAGCCCATAAATCGAGTGTTGGAGCTTGCACACCTTGTCAGCATTCTTAGGATCGACAAAACCTTCCGGC